ATCTTCGCCGCCCGCCCCTCCCTCGGTGTCTCCTCCTCCGTCTTCGCAACAGCCGTCGTTGCAGCCGCCGCCGCCGCGGCAGCCGTCGTTGCAGCCGCAGTCGCCACAGCCATCGTCGCAACCGCAGCAGCAGCAGTTCGTCGACCCTAGGGGTGCTGGTGTTGAGGAGGGTGCTCATCTTGGGGTTCCTGTCGTGGCTTGTCCCGGCAGGCCTGGGGGTGGTACCAGTGCTGGAGAGGTTCCTGGTTCTTGGGGTGCTCGAGTGGAGTGTTCCGGAGTTGGCCGTGGAGCAGCCGGCGGCCTCGGTGTCGCCGTCGTGCCGCCGCAGCAGCAATCGCCGCCGGTGTCAGCCCTTCGCCTGCTCGGCCTTCCGTCCCCTGACCGCGCACTTGTGCCTCCTCCACCGTCTGCTCCCCTTTCTATCTACGGCCCCGTGTTCCCTCCTCCGGACTCGTCTCCGGCTCGTCTTCCTCCGTTTTCTCCTCCTGTGTCTCCTCCTCTGTCTTCTGATCCGACACCTCCGTCTCACGTCTGGTCACGCCGTCCCTCTCGAGCTCGTCCTGTCTCTCCTGTTCCGCGCTCTCACCCTATGTTGCTCCATTCCCACGCATCTCGTCCTCCCCTCCTGCCGTCGCCTCCTCCGTCCTCCCTTGTTGCCGCGCCTCCCCCTTTGTCTGACTACCTTCGTGTAGCTCGTCCTTTGTTCCTCAGGTCCTTGCCTCTCTCGTTACCGACCCGTCTGTTCATGTTTGCGTCTAGACGCTCTTGTCGCTGCCGTCGGTGACTTCACCTCTACCCGCCGCCTTGACTACGCCACTGCTCTGGACTCTCACCCTGCTCGTCCTCCGTCCGTCGGGGGTGCTCCTGCCCTCGGCAGTGACGTCCTGGAGGACCGGCAGTACGAGCTTGCTTTCCTGTCCGAGGCTGCTCCCCATCGCTATTCCATGCTACTAGTCCCTGAGGGTGACCCAGACGCTTTCGAAATCCTGACCCCTCGCACCTACGCTGAGGCGATCTCGGGACCCTGGGCCTCTAAGTGGATAGCTGCCATGGAGCAGGAGATGGCATCTTGGAGATCCACCGGCACCTACGTCGACGCAGTTCCCCCACCTGGGGTGTACGTAGTTGATGGCCAGTGGCTCTTCAAGGCGCGCTATGTGGCTGGAGGCTTCAGTCAGCGTGAGGGGGTGGACTTCTTTCAGACCTTCGCCCCGACCCCGAAGATGACTACTCTTCGTGCGTTCCTACACGTAGCAGCACAGCGTGAATACGAGTTACACTCCCTCGACTTCTCCACTACCTTCCTTCAGGGCAGCCTACACGAGCAGGTCTACCTGCGCCGCCCTCAGGTCTTCACTGGTACCTTCCCTCCTGGGACCTCGTGGCTACTGCGGCGCCCAATCTACGGCTTGCGATAGGCGCCCCGTAAGTGGCACGACACACTGCGTGCTACCCTTGCTGAACTGCAGTTCTTTCCGTCCTCTGCAGACCCCTCGCTCTTCGTTCGTGCTGGCCAGACCCCGTTCTACATCCTTGTTTACGTAGACGACCTGGTCTTCGCCACTACAGACACGGACGCACTGGCCTACGTGAAGGCAGAGCTACTGAAGAGACACACTTGCACTGACCTAGGAGAACTGCACCACTACCTTGGCTTGCAGATCTCCAGGGACAGAGCAGCGCGCACCATCACTCTCACCCAGTCACACTTGGTGCGCCAGGTCGTTTAGAGGTTCGGTCTTCAGTTCTCCTCCGCACAGCTCACACCTCTGCCAGTAGATCACAGGCTCTTAGTTCCAATTTCTGAGGAATCAGTAGAGCCCGCTTCTTTTACTCGCGTGACGACACCTTTGACGAGTCTGTCTCCTTCTACCACCGCTTTTCCCACCGAGGTCTGCCGGTTTCCCCTCCCCTGTTTCTGGTTCCCTCTCCCCTGGTAGCGTCTGCCCCTCTCCCCCTCCTCCTGCCCTGTCTGGTGTGTCTCACGTCACTCCCCTCCCATCGGTGGTCCTGGTGGAGGAGTCGGCTAACTCCGAGGGCCCCGCGGCTTCGGTTTCATCGACTGTCTCTGCCCCGATGTCCCCTCCTCCACTACCGCAGCCGCAGCTGCCGTGCCGCCGCAGAAGCAACATCAGCCGCTGACGCCGCCGCAGGGGTCTGCGCGTTCTGGGGGTGCTGGCATCAGGGTGGGTGCTAGTCATGGCGTTACTGTCGTGGCTTTCCTTGGCGGTCCTGGGTGTGACATAGGTCTTGTTCAGGGGTTGCTGGAGTCGAGCGCTCCGGAGGTAGCCGTGGTACAGCTGGAGGTTATGGTGTCGGTGTGGCGTAGTAGCAGCAGTCGCAGCCGGTGTCCGCCCTTCGCCTCCTCGGTCTCTCCTCCCCTGACCACCTGCCTACGCCTCCCTCGCCGCCGCCTCCCCTGCCTGTCTTCGGACCTGTGTTTCCTCTGCTGGACCCGTCTCCGATTCGTTTTCCCCCTCGTTCTCCTCTAGTGTCTCCTCCTTTGTCTCCTGACCCAACGCCTCCGTCCCACGTCTGGTCTCGCCGTCCCTCCCGTGCTCGTCCTGTCTCTCCTGTTCAGCACTCTAAACCCTTCGTTCGCACGCGTCTTGTTCTCCCCTCCTCTCGTCTCCTCCTTCGTTGTCGCTTGTTGTCACTCTGCCTCCTCTGTCTAACTTCCTTCGTGCCACTAGTCCTCTTGTTCCTCGTGTCCTTGCCTTCCTTGTTACTGACCTGTCTGTTCCTGTCTCGAGTCTTGACGTGCTTGTCGTTGCCGTAGCCAATTTTGCCTCCACCCACCGCCTTGACTACGCCAAGGTCTCTGACCCTGAGCATCCTCTGTTTGTCGGGGGTGCTCCTGCCTCGGCAGTGACGTCCTAGAGGATCGACAGTACGAGCTTGCTTTCCTATCCGAGGCCGCGCCTCATCTCTGCTTCATGCCGAAAGTCCTTGAGGGGGACCCAGATGCCTTTGACATTCCGACCCCTCGCACTTACGCGGAGGCCACCTCAGGACCCTGGGCCTCTCAGTGGATAGCTGCCATGGATGCGGAGATGGCATCTTGGAGATCCACAAGCACCTACATCAACGCAGCTCCCCCACCTAGGGTGAACGTAGTCGATGGCCGGTGGCTCTTCAAGGCGAAGCGCCCTACTGGAGAGCCATCGGTGTTCAAGACGCGCTACGCTGCTAGAGGCTTTAGTCAGCGCTAGGGTGTTGACTTCTTTCAGACCTTCGCCCCGACCCCGAAGATGACTTCTCTTTGGGCGCTGTTATACGTAGCAGCACAGCGTGACTACGAGTTGCACTCCCTCGACTTCTCTACAGCGTTTCTTTAGGGCAGTATGCACGAGCAGGTCTACCTGCGTCGCCCCCCAGGCTTCACCGGCACCTTCGCCCAGGGGACCCAGTGGCTCCTCCGACGCCCGGTTTTCGGCCTGCGGCAGGCGCCGCGCGAGTGGCACGACACGCTTGTGCTCCGCTAGCTGACCTGCAGTTCTTCCCGTCCTCTGTGGACCCCTTGCTCTTTGTTCGTGCTGGTCAGTCCCCGTTCTACATCCTTCTCTATGTAGACGACCTGGTCTCTACTACTGCAGATAGAGACGCACTGGCCTCCGTAAAGGATGAGCTTCTGAGAAGACACACCTGCACTGACCTAGGAGAGCTGCGCCGTTAACTTGGCCTGTAGATCTCCAGGGACAGAGCAGCGTGCACCATCACTCTTGGTGCGCCAAGTGCTTCAGAGGTTCGGCCTTCCGTTCTCCTCCGCACAGCCCACACCTCTGCCTGTAGATCATAGGCTCTCGGCTGCAGTCCCTGAGGAGTCCTTAGAGCCAAGTGGTGCTTACGCAGAGCTGGTGGGTTGCCTCATGTACCTGATGACTTGCACTCGTCCAGATCTAGCATACCCTCTCAGCATCCTGGCTCGCTTTGTGGCCACAGGCACACACCGACCACAGCACTGGTCGGCCGATAAGAGGGTTTTGAGTTATCTAGTAAGTACATCGGTCATGGGGCTAGTGCTAGGAGGACACAGGCCAGTGGTCCTGACAGGACGCTTCGTGGACGGACGACTCTGAGACGCTCAGATCCTCTTACAGCTACTGCTTTAGCCTTGGTATAGGTGCCATCTCGTGGAGGTCCACCTGCTCGTCATCTGTTGCCCAGTCTAGCTGTGAGGCTGAGAACTACGCCGGTGTCAGGGTAGCATAGGAGCTCCGCTGGCTGACTTTCTTGCTCCCTGACTTAGGTGAGCGGCCTAGCTCTGTCCCGGTCCTGTACGCTGACAACAGGGCCATAATTCTCCTATGTCAGTAGCCTCGACTTGAGGGCAGAGCGAAGCACATACAGCTGCGGTACTTCCTCCTGCACGAGCTACAGCAGCGCCATCAGGCCCGCGTAGTACACTTCGCCTCAGGTGCCAACACAACTAATATCTTTACGAAGGCGCTTGCGCCTAAAGATCATTAGCGGCACTGTGTACAACTTGGTCTAGTTCCTGTAGCTTCCCACTTGCTTAGGACCTTGATTGTGTACTACTTCTATATTATCTTGACTGGCCTTGTGGCTCTTGTTCCAGTGGCTGGACTAGTAGTACCGCCCTAGGTTGCGCTTGTTTAGTTTGTACTCTTTATGACTGGTCTTCGAACCCTTGCCTCAGAGGTTGACTAATAGTGCCACCTTGAGTTGTGTGTCTCTTGCCAGGCATTGCCCCTCATCTAGCCTAGGGGGTGTGTCAAAACATATATATATATCTTATAGGCTAGATAGGGGCATACTCTTAGAAAGTACAACCCCTTTGCACAAAAGCACCTTGTATCTCTCATTCTAGTCAACAGTTCTCTCGTTGACAGGTTGGACCAGTGAAGGGCTCGATAGTCCCGAGGGTGTCAAAATGGGTTCGAGGCAACTCGGGAAGAAGTTTGGGGCTGAAAAGGTAGACGAGGGCTGGTTACCAAATTACCACCTAGGTGAAAAGGTCACCTTGGCACAATTGGTTCAAGGTAATTGCATCCATAAACCCTAAACCCAAAGCTCCACTCAGCACACCTTCCTGTCCAATCTGTGCACTGCGCAACACATTGCCTTGCCTTGCATTATCGTCGCCAAGCTACACGTTGGAGGTCCAGGTGAGTGGCATATGCATGTGCGACACATTTCAAGCATTTTGGAATGCGTACAGTGCAGCACACGTCCTGACTACAGCGCGTTCTTTTCTAGAAAGGTGGCCAAGCTTCTGCAATTCCGGTGGTTCTACAATAGGTGCTCTTTTTACTCAGTATGCTCCCTCCTGCTGCTGCTGCTGCTGCAGCTACTACTGCTGGTGATGGTGGGAGGGTGGGCTCTCCACCAATCGTTTCAGTGCAGCAAACTCGGGCAGACCGAGAAACGTTGCCATCTCTGCCAGGGCGGCATCTTTTGTTGGCTTGTGAGGGGCATGCGCCAGAGCTGCCACCACCTTGGCACTGGGGGCAGAACGGGGGAGGGAAGGAAGGAAAGGCGAGTGGTGAAGGGACGAGAGCAAACACCAGCGCAGTGTGATATTTGACAACATAGAGCCAAACGCCTTTGTCAGTGTGACGAGAAAATGAGGCGAACTAAGAAGCAAGGATATGTAGGAAGTTAGGAAACAGTCCCCTCTCACCTGGGCCCTTAAAGCCCCTCTTACCTGTGGCCTGTGCCCCACTCCCTGCACCGCCCTCGCAGCGCCTCTCGCCACAACACGGCACAGAAAGGCTCAACTTCCCCCTCCAACGCTGCTGCTGCTGCAGCCGCCGCTTCTTCAGACTTCGCAGTTTCTGCTGCTCCTTCTGCCACAGCTGCAGTCGCAGCTGCTGCTGCGGCCTGGCGCTCCTCATCTGCCACCAGGCGTCTCAGCACTCTGCTGCCAAAGAAATCCTCCAACACATGGCTTGGCTGCTGCTCCCCCTGCTTCTCCGCCTGCTCCCATCCTCTCCCCCTTCTCTGCCCCCTCCTCCTCACCCCCCTCCTGTGCTTTCTGCACCTTGCCGCTCTTCTCCTTGCCCTTCTTTGACTTGTCCTTCTTGCCCGCACCATCACCACCAGCAGCAGCGCCATTGGCAGCAGCAGCAGCAGGGGGGCGGGGAGCAGCGGCTTCAGCAGCGATGCCTGAGTGCAGGGCGGAGAGGAGTGTAGGATAGTGCAGGGCGAGGAGAGACGAGTCTCCTCCACGTGCAAGCTGCAGGGGGGGGGGGGAGGGAAGGAGACGAAAGGAGATGAGGTGTAGTAAGGGGAGCACGGCCTCAGCAGCAATGGCTGAGTGCTGGGCAGTCAGGGGTGGTGCAGGCGAGAAGAGAAGAGTCACCACCGCGGGCAAGGTGAGGGAACTGGATTTGGGGGAATACGCATTTTGAGTCGACTCAAAAGCACTTCAGGTTGGAGGGAGACGTAAGCAGGGAATGTAAGAAGGGGCGATTTTTTCAGAATTCTCAAAAAGGAGACGTAAGCAGGGAAGTGTACGAAGGGGCGCAGCAGCTTCAGCAGCAATGGCTGAGTGCAAGGGGGGAGAGGGGTGGTGGATGTGGTGGTGCATATGCACCTCACCTCACAGATGAAACTGTAACAGCAAATGCACTTCACAGATGAAACTGTAACAGCAAATGCACTTCACAGATGAAACTGTAATGGCGCATGGTACCTTACATATGAAACTGTAACCACACATGGTACCTCACAGATGAAACTGTAACCACGCATGGTACCTCACAGATGAACCTTTAACAGCGCATTGTACCTCACAGATGAACCTGTAACAGCGCAGTGTACCTCATAGATGACATCGCAGGCAAACTGAGACCTCAGCATGGCGCCCGCATGCTCCGCTGCCAGCTTGAGCATCTCCTGGTGCAGACACACAGAGCAGCAGCACAAGGTAGGAGCACAAGGCAGCAGCACACAGCATTATTAGCGACCCCTCAAAAGCCAGCCAGCAAGCCGCCTGCATGCTCCTCTGCCAGCTTGAGCATCTCCTGTACAGCTGCACAGAGAAGAGTTGAGAAAGAGTTTGAGAAACATTCGGAGTTGGGACAATTACAACAACCAACCTGAACTGCAGTGTGCATTCACTCCCCGGCATCTCAACCCTTGCAATTCATCTCCGGACGCATATTGTCACATCCCATCATGTCACATCCCATCATGTCACATCCCATCTTGTCACATCCCATCCCCCCACAACCCAACCCCCCAACTTCCCTCCCTCCTCACCTCGCCCAATCCTGAATCAATCAGAAGCTTCCTTCTCTTAGCAACGGACCGAGAGCCCCTTCCACCCTCCCCCTCCCCCTCCTCATCCCCCTCATCCTCCTCCTCCTCATCACTATCATCATCATCTGCTGCTGCTGCAGCGGCAGCAGCCTTTCTCTTCTTGCCGTCTGCCTTCCCCTTCCTCTTGCTGAACTTCGTAGCTGTGGCACCTCCTTCCTCTCCCTCCCCCGCCTCTTCCTCCTCCTCCCCTTCCTCCCCTCCTCCCCCTCCTCCCCCTCTTCTCCCTCTCTCCCTCATCCCCTTCCTTTCCCTCCTCTCCCTCTTCACCCTCCTCCGCCTCCCCCTCTCCTCCCTCCTCCTCCTCCTCCTCATCCTCTTCCATCTCCTCACCTCCCTGACCTTCCTCCTCCTCCTCTTCACCCTCCCCTTCTTCCATCGCCCCCCCTTGCTCCTTTCCCTCCTCTTCCTCCCCCTCCTCTCCATCATCATCCCCTCCTTCCTCCTCCTGCCCCTCCTCCTCCTCTTCCTCCCCCTCCTCCTCCACTCTGCCGCCCACCACAACAGCCTGGGCGGCATCGGGTGGCAGGTAGCGGTGGAGGAGGGGGCGAGCAGCTGCAGCAGGAACCGGCGGCCGATCCGCTCCTGCATGACCTCGAAGAGGTCTTTAATGAGCTCCTTGACCACGAACTGGAAAGAGAGAGGGTGCAAAGGGAGGAAGGGAGGAAGGGGGGTCAGGGAGGGGGGTAAGCACTGGCCAGACGCTGCAGCAGGAACCGGTGGCCGATGCGCTCCTGCATGACTTGATGAGCTCCTTGATCACGAACTGGGGTGATACGGGGGGGGGAAGGGGGGGGGGGGGGGGGGGCAGGGGGAACAGGGGGAACAGCGGGAACAGGGGGGACAGGGGAACAGGGGGAACAGGAGGAACAGCGGGAACAGGGGGGACAGGGGGAACAGGGGGAACAGGGGGAACAGGGGGGACAGGAGTAAGGACAGGGGCAGCTGCAGCAGGAACCAGCGGCCGATCCGCTCCTGCATGACGTCGAAGAGGTCTTTGATGAGCTCCTGATCACGAACTGGAGTGTGGCAGGTGGGAAAATAAGTAAAGGGGAAGGGAGGACAGGAGGGGGTGGAATTTGATGAGGTTTGATTCGCTCTGCTGCATGACTCTAAAGAGGCCTTAGATCAGCTCCTTGATAACGAGCTGGAGGAGTGCGACAGGGGGAAAATGCAGCATCAGATGATCAGATCGCTCCTGCATGACCTCAAACAGGTCTTTGATGAGCTCCTTGATCACGAACTGGATGGAGGACAGGGGGGACAGGGGGACAGGGGACAGGGGGACAGGGGGGACAGGAGGACAGGGGGACAGGGGGGACAGGGGGACAGGGAGGGACAGGGAGGCAGGGAGACAGGGAGGACAGGGAGGACAGGGAGGGACAGGAGGACAGGGAGGACAGGGCAGGGGACAGGAGGGACAGGGGACAGGGGGGACAGGGGGACAGGGAGGGACAGGAGAAAGGAGGACAGGGAGGGACAGGGAGGGACAGGGAGGAAGGGAGGACAGGGAGGACAGGGAGGACAGGGAGGACAGGGAGGACAGGGGACAGGGGGGGGGGACAGGAGGACAGGGAGACAGGGAGGACAGGGAGGACAGGGAGGACAGGGAGGGACAGGGAGGGACAGGGAGGGAAGGGAGGACAGGGAGGAAAGGAGGACAGGGAGGAAAGGGAGGACAGGGAGGACAGGGAGGACAGGAGGGACAGGAGGACAGGGAGGGACAGGGAGGACAGGGAGACAGGGAGCAGGGAGGAGGGAGGACAGGAGGACAGGGAGGACAGGGAGGACAGGGGACAGGGGGGACAGGAGGACAGGGGGGACAGGGAGGACAGGGACAGGAGGACAGGGAGGACAGGGAGGACAGGAGGACAGGGAGGACGGAGGACAGGAGGAAGGGAGGACAGGAGGAAAGGAGGAGGGAGGACAGGAGACAGGGAGGACAGGAGACAGGGAGACAGGGAGGACAGGGAGGACAGGGGGACGGGGACAGGGAGGACAGGGGACAGGGGACAGGAGGACAGGAGGACAGGAGGACAGGGAGGACAGGGAGGGACAGGGAGGAAAGGGAGGACAGGAGAAAGGGAGGGAGGCAGGGAGGGACAGGGAGGACAGGAGGACAGGAGGACAGGGAGGACAGGGAGGACAGGAGGACAGGGAGGAAGGGACAGGGAGGACAGGGAGGACAGGGAGGACAGGAGGACAGGGAGGACAGGGAGGACAGGGGACAGGGGGACAGGGGGGACAGGGGGGACAGGGAGGACAGGGAGGACAGGGAGGACAGGGAGGACAGGAGGACAGGGAGGGACAGGGGAGGGACAGGGAGGGACAGGGAGGACAGGGAGGGAAAGGAGGGACAGGAGGAAAGGGAGGGACAGGAGGAAAGGGAGGGACAGGGAGGAAAGGAGGACAGGGAGGACAGGAGGACAGGGAGACAGGGAGGGACAGGGAGGACAGGGAGGGACAGGAGGACAGGAGGACAGGGAGACAGGGAGGACAGGAGGACAGGGAGGACGGGAGACAGGGAGGACAGGGAGGACAGGGGGACAGGGGACAGGAGGACAGGGGGACAGGAGGACAGGGAGGACAGGGAGGACAGGGAGGACAGGGAGGACAGGGAGGACAGGGAGGGACAGGGAGGGACAGGGAGGAAAGGAGGGACAGGGAGGAAAGGGAGGACAGGGAGGAAAGGGAGGGACAGGAGGACAGGGAGGACAGGGAGGGACAGGGAGGACAGGGAGGACAGGGAGGAAAGGAGACAGAGGGAGGACAGGGAGGACAGGAGGGACAGGGAGGGACAGGGAGGACAGGGGGACAGGGGACAGGGAGGACAGGGAGGACAGGGAGGACAGGGAGGACAGGGAGGACAGGGACAGGGGAGGACAGGGAGGACAGGGAGGGACAGGAGGAAAGGAGGACAGGGAGGACAGGGAGGACAGGAGGAAGGGAACAGGGAGACAGGGAGGACAGGAGGGACAGGAGGACAGGGGAGGACAGGGAGGACAGGGAGGACAGGGAGGACAGGGAGGACAGGAGGACAGGGAGGACAGGGAGGACAGGGAGGACAGGGAGACAGGGGAGGAACAGGGAGGGGACAGGGAGGACAGGGAGGACAGGGAGGACGACAGGGAGGACAGGAGGGACAGGAGGACAGGGAGGACAGGGAGGACAGGAGGAAAGGGAGGGACAGGGAGGACAGGGGGACAGGGAGGACAGGGAGGACAGGGAGGGACAGGAGGCAGGTGAGACAGGGAGACAGGGAGGACAGGGAGGACAGGGAGGACAGGGAGGGACAGGAGGAAAGGGAGGACAGGGAGGGACAGGGGAGAAAGGGAGGACAGGAGGACAGGAGGACAGGGACAGGGAGGACAGGAGGACAGGAGGACAGGGAGGACAGGGAGACAGGAGGACAGGGAGACAGGAGGACAGGGGACAGGGAGGAAAGGGAGGACAGGGAGGACAGAGAAAGGGGACAGGGAGGACAGGGAGGGACAGGGAGGACAGGGAGTGACAGGGGAACAGGGAGGACAGGAGGACAGGGAGACAGGGAGGACAGGGAGGACAGGGAGGACAGGGAGGACAGGGAGGACAGGGAGGACAGGGAGGACAGGGAGGACAGGAGGACAGGAGGACAGGGAGGACGGGAGGACAGGGAGGACAGGGAGGACAGGGAGGAAAGGAGGGACAGGGAGGACAGGGAGGACAGGGAGGACAGGGAGGACAGGGAGGACAGGGAGGACAGGGAGGGGACAGGGAGGACAGGAGGACAGGGAGGACAGGGGGAGGACAGGGAGGACAGGGAGGACAGGAGAGGGAAAGGGAGGGACAGGGAGGACAGGGAGGGAAAGGGAGGACAGGGAGGGACAGGGAGGACAGGGAGGGACAGGAGGAGGACAGGGAGGACAGGAGGACAGGGAGGACAGGGAGGGACAGGGAGGGACAGGGAGGACAGGGGAGGACAGGAGGACAGGGAGACAGGGAGGACAGGGAGGACAGGGAGGACAGGGAGGAAAGGGAGGACAGGGAGGACAGGGAGGGACAGGGAGGACAGGGAGGAAAGGGAGGACAGGGAGGACAGGAGGACAGAGACAGGGAGGACAGGGAGGACGGGAGACAGGGAGGACAGGGAGGACAGGAGGAAAGGAGGACAGGGAGACAGGGAGACAGGGAGACAGGGAGGACAGGAGACAGGGAGGACAGGGAGGGACAGGGAGGACAGGGAGGACAGGGAGGAAGGGAGGACAGGGAGGACAGGGAGGACAGGAGGACAGGGGGAAGGGAAAGGGAGGACAGGGAGGACAGGGAGGACAGGGAGGGACAGGGAGGGACAGGGAGGGAAGGAGGGACAGGGGAGGACAGGGAGGAAAGGGAGGGACAGGGAGGACAGGGAGGACAGGGAGGACAGGAGGGACAGGGAGGAAAGGAGGGACAGGGAGGACAGGAGGGAAGGAGGGACAGGGAGGACAGGAGGAAGGGAGGGACAGGGAGGACAGGAGGAAGGGAGGGACAGGGAGGACAGGGAGGACAGGACAGGAGGACAGGGAGGACAGGGAGGGACAGGGAGGGACAGGGAGGACAGGGAGGGACAGGGAGGACAGGGAGACAGGAGACAGGGAGGACAGGAGGACAGGGAAGGGACAGGGAGGACAGGGAGGACAGGGAGGACAGGGAGGACAGGAGGACAGGAGGACAGGAGGACAGGAGGAAAGGAGGGACAGGAGACAGGGAGGACAGGGAGGACAGGGAGGACAGGGAGGAAAGGGAGGACAGGGGACAGGGGGAAAGGGAGGACAGGGAGGACAGGGAGACAGGGAGGACAGGGAGGACAGGAGGAAAGGGAGGGACAGGGAGGACAGGGAGGACAGGGAGGAAAGGAGGGACAGGAGGACAGGGAGGACAGGGAGGACAGGAGGGACAGGAGGAAGGGAGGGACAGGGAGGACAGGAGGAAAGGGAGGACAGGGAGGACAGGGAGGGACAGGGAGACAGGGCGGAAGACGGGGACGGGGGGGTAGGACGGGCCAGCAGGTGCAGCAGGAACCGGCAGGCGATTCGCTCCTACATGACCTCGAAGAGGTCTTTAATGAGCTCCTTGACCCCGAACTGGAAAGAGAGAGGGTGGAAAGGTGGAAGGGGGACGGGGGGTAAGGACTGGAGAGCAGCTGCAGCAGGAACCGGCGCCTGATTTGCTCCTGCATGACCTCGAAGAGGTCTTTGATGAGCTCCTTGATCACGAACTGGAGTGGGGCAGGGGGAAAAGAAGTAAAGGGAAGGAGGACAGGGGCGCATATGATGGGGTAGATTCGCTCCTGCATGACCTCAAAGAGGTCTCTGATGAGCGCCTTGATCGCCAACTGAAAGCACAAGAAGCACCAGAGGGACAAGAGGTAGACTCGAGCAGCAGCTGCAGCAGCAGCAGGTGGCCGTGGTCGCCACATGCCACTCGCCCTCACGTGCTCATGACACAGCCGGTTGCATTGCACGTGGCATACCCGGTTTAAGGACCAGACGACGCCGACTCGAGCAGCAGCAGCAAGTGGCTGTGGTCGCCACACGCTGTAAGCTACATGGTGCAAGTGACGTACCCGGTTCAAAGGTCGGACGAGGCGGACTCCAGCAGCAGCAGCAGCAGCAGGTGCCCTGGGTCGTCACATGCCACAAGTTGCATGCTCATGTTAATGCAGAGTGGTGTAAGCAACATACCCGGGTCAAAGGACCGGAAGAGGCGGACTCGAGCATCTGCAGCAGCAGCAGGTGGCCGTGGTCGTCACACGCCACGCGCGCCACCACTCCCTTCAGCGCCTTCACCACCCGCCGCACCTCCTGCCGTGTGCCATACACGCGGTGCCATGTCATGCCATGCCATGCCGTGCCGTGCCACATTTCAAACAACGGATATGAGACGAGAGACACAAGCGCAATGTGCTCAGTCAGAAACACTGCCCTGACACGACCACATTTCATGCATCCACTTCACATGTATAGCATGCCATGGCTTACCTTAGGAGTCGCCTGGGCAACCATGGTGTTGGCGATCCTGACCCCATCCCTCGTGTGCACCATGCGCAGCAGCAGAGCGCCCATCAGATGCTGCGGACCTCCGCCACCTCCCTCTGATACATTGGCAGGGGAAGTGGGGCGGGGGAGGACGGGTGGGGGAACGGTGGGGGTGGGCGGGGTGTTGGGGGTAGAGGTGGATGACAGATGCGCAGATGCGCTCATTCGTCATGGTGGCGCCTTGGAAAGTGGTCCACGAGTCATGACCCCTCCTCAGAAATGGGTTACAGAGAAGCTTCTAGGTGTTGCAGCACAGACTGTCCGGTGGTGCCCGCGGGGGGACCGGACCGGCCAGCAGGTCAGTCAGGTGCCTATGTTGGTTGGCGTAGCCAGAGACGTTTTGAGCATTACCCATCATACCTTGGAGATGACTTGAAGGTAGTCCGCCAGCACTCTGTGGAACAGCGAGTGGTCCACGATCCCCTTCTCCAGTATCGGCTGCAGGGAAGCTTCCAGGTGCTGCAGCACGGACTGCCGGGTGGTGCCCGTGGGGAGATCCGCCAGCAGGTCAGAGAGGTGGCCGGAGCCCGGGAGGGCGAGCGAGGGGAAGAGGCGGAACTCGGGGGAGAAGAACTCGGACGCTAGAGCTGAGCGCTGGGGAGGTGTGGAGAGCTGGTAGGCGTGCTCCACGACTGGAACGGGTTTGCGTGCCGGGGGGAGGAGAGGGAGGAGAGGGAGGAGAGGAGAGTGAGAGGAGGGTGAGAGGAGGGTGAGAGGGAGGACGAGCGAGGGGAAGAGGCGGAACTTGGGGGAGAATATCTCGGAAGCTAGAACAGAGCGCTGGGGGGGGGGGGAGGAGCTGGTAGGCGTTCTCCACGACTGGAAAAGGGGAGAGAATCACACAGAGATGTGGGGGATACGGCAGGAAGAAAGAGGTTGCGCATGGTGGGCATGGTGCGCATGGTGGGCATGGTGCGCATGGTGGGCATGGTGGGCATGGTGGGCATGGTGGGCATGGTGCGCATGGTGGGCATGGTGCGCATGGTGGGCATGGTGGGCATGGTGGCATGGTGGCCATGGCCATGCAGCCTCACTAACGCACCAACGAGTACATGCCCTAGTCACTTCACTCCTCCCGGTACCAATACCTGCCGAGGCCACAGGGTGATGCCGCAGGGTGATGCCGCAGGGTGACGCCGCATCATGTGATACCACCACATGCCCCCTCAGCTGTTCACCAGTGCAATGGCCACAATGTGAAGGTATCACCTGTCCCAGTTCCACCTCCCTCCCTCAGTCACATATACCTGCCGAGGCCACAGGGTGACGCCGCATCATCTCCACCACATGCCCCCCCAGCTGCCCTATGATGTCGTGCCATGCACCCCACAAACACAATATAACCATCATCAAAGCACTGCACCGTACCTGCACTGGCCACAGGGTGCCGCATCATCTCCACCACGTGCCCCCGCAGCTGCCCTATGATGTCGTGCTTCTTCTCCTTGCTGGCTGCTCGCACGCAGAATGGCAGAGGGGGAAGGGAGAGGGGAAAGGAAGAGGGGGAAAGAAAGCAAGGAAAGAGCCTGCATCACATCCCATCATCTTCACCACGTGCCCCCGCAGCTGCCCCCTGCGCTGTCATGCTGCTTCTCCTTGCTGCCTGCTCGCACACATAATGGGAGCAAGGAAAAATGGAAGGGAGAGGGAAACGGAAAGGAAGGAAGGGCTGTCGCATTGCCTCGAGTCTCCACCACGTGCCCCCGCAGCTGCCCTGCGCTGTCATGCTTCTTCTCCTTGCTGCCTGCTCGCATGGAGGATACGGAACGCAGGAGAAGGGGGAAGTGTTGTGTGACATTGTAACGAGGTGACCTTTGAGTCGACCCAAAAGTCACCTCGTTACAATGGAGATATGGGACGCAGGAGAAGGGGAAGTGGGAAGGGGGGGCGGAGGGTTGGGTCGGGGGAAGGGGAAGAAAGAGGGGAGAGCGGCGGAATGGGGAGAGAGGGGAGTGGGAAGGGACGAGGAGAGAGAGGCGAGTAGAAGGGGGAAAGAAGCCGGCAGGGTGGAGGAGGGGGAGGGGGGGGGGGGGGGCATTGAAGTAACGTGAGGGATACACACGAGCGAGCATGATGTGACGGGCATTGTGCCACTCACTCACCGTGGTCCAAACACATCTGCAGCACCCTGACCTCTCAGAAGTGCTTCCTCAGCTCAGTGAACACACATCTGCAGCACCCAGACCTCTCAGAAGTGCTCTACACACGTCTTCTCTGCGGCACCCAAGGCACTCACCATGGTCCATCATCCGGTTGACTAAGTGGTGGGCATACGGGTGAATGGCCAGCTCCCTGCAGTGCGGCCTCAACTCAGCGAACACCATCTCCCTCTCGTCCTTCCTGCCGTGCTTAACACACATCTGCAGCACCCGTGACACCGTGTGCGACCGCGCCATTTCCAACATCTTGCCCTTCATCTTAGCAATCATTGAGGTCACCAGCCTGCAACGGGGATATAAGAGAGAGGAGGGAACTCAAGTGGGTCTGTTTTTTCCTGCCGTGCTTCACAAACGCATGCAGCATCCAAGACACCGTGTGCGACCGCGCCATCTCCAGCATCTTGCCCTTCATCTTCGATATCATGGGCGTTACCAGCCTGTAACGGGGAAGAGGAGAGGCGAGGAATGGGTGGGGGGTGAATGGGGGTTGGGATGGAGGGTATAAGAAGGAGGAGAGGTCAAGAATAAGCAGGACTCAAGACCACGTGGGAGACCACGACACCTCCATTTGCCCTTCATCTCAGCTATCACTAAGAATCACGAGCCTGTAACGAGGTTAAGAAGCAAGGAAGGTGCAGAGAGGCAGAAGAGACAATGTATGAGTCAAGTCCTTTGTTTCAGAACAAGGCAGGTAGCACAGCACAGAGCCGCACACACGAAGTACTGCACATAGTCATCAGTCAGTGTGTCATCAGTCAGTGTGTCATCAGTCAGTGTGTCATCAGTCAGTGTGTCATCAGTCAGTGTGTCATCTGTCAGTGTGTCATCGTCAGGTGTTCATCAGTGTGTCATCAGTCAGTGTGTCATCAGTCAGTGTGTCATCAGTCAGTGTGTCATCAGTCAGTGTGTCATCAGTCAGTGGTGTCATCAGTCAGTGTGTCATCAGTCAGTGTGTCATCAGTCAGTGTGTCATCAGTCAGTGTGTCATCTGTCAGTGTGTCATCAGTCAGTGTGTCATCAGTCAGTGTGTCATCAGTCAGTGTGTCATCAGTCAGTGTGTCATCTGTCAGTGTGTCATCAGTCCAGTATGTCATCTGTCCAGTGTGTCATCTGTTGCTTTGCTTACTTGTGTTTTTTCTCCATGTCTATGTTCCTCTGGCGAGACTTCTCCCACAGCAGAGTCAGCTCCTGGTACAATCACACACCAGCACAGGCACACCAGCACAGCCACACGTTCACAAGCAACCGTGCGCATCGCAAGCATACAAGGCGGCATACGCACACAGGGGAGGGAGGAGAGGGCAAGTTCACAATGCAACACAGAGAAAATGGCATGCCTTGCCACGGCGTGAGGCATGAGAAAGAGTTTCGCTATGGCACAACACAACACAGCGAAAGTGGCACCACAACACAGCGAAAGTGGCACCACAACGCACTCCCATGCCTCTTCCTTAGCCCCATCCCCAACCCTTGCACCCCAACCGAACTTCGCCCAAACAGTTATCCCCTCGATCACGGCAACTGGGTTAAACCCAGTGCGCTAAACCCTCCCTACATGCACCCTTTCCAGATAAAGATTAGTGCCAAACCCTCCCTACATGCACCCTTTCCAGATAAAGATTAGTGCCAAACCCTCCCTACATGCACCCTTTCCAGATAAAGATTAGTGCCAAACCCTCCCTACATGCACCCTTTCCAGATAACGATTAGTGCCAAACCCTCCCTACATGCACCCTTTCCAGATAAAGATTAGTGCCAAACCCTCCCTAAACCAACCTTTTCCAAATCAAAGAGAGGGCGGCGGCGCTTTTTCCGCGCCTCCGCTAACTCCTGCGCGGAGGGGGACGGGGAAGGGGAAGGAGGGGGAGAGGGGGGAGAAGAGAGAATGACTGAAGGGGGGAAGGGAGAGGGGGAGTGCGAGAGAGATATGATATGAGGGGAGGTGAGGGGAGGTGTGAGAGGGATGAATGGAGAACGAATGGGAGGGTATAGCGGGTAAGTGAGGATACGGGAGGGAAGGGGTGCGGTGCTTGAGAGCCAGACTCGGGGTTTAAGTCGCAGGGTTTATCGAACCAGGGTTTACATTCACAGGGGTTTATCGGCCCAACCATGAAATCACTGTGAGCTAAAGTCGATATTCAGTCGTGCATTTCTCAGCCGCAACCTTTTCTGAAGCACTTTCCTCTGACACGCCTTCCCTGAATGCACCTTCCCCTGACGCGCCTTCCCTGAATGCACCTATGTTTCCGACGCACCTTCCTCTGCTTCCTGTCCATTGGTCCGCTAGGAGCGCTCTCTCCCCTCCCCGCTCCTCGCCCCTGTCCACCGCCCCGTCCCCCACCCCGTCCGCCGTCCCCCCCGCGACCGCCTCCTCTTCCCCAACCTCGCCCGCGTGCGCCTCCTCCTCCGCCCTCGTCGGAACTTCCGCTTGCGCCTTCAAACTTCCGCTTCCTTGAATCGCCCGGGCTGAAGCTCCCGCGCCCAACCTCTCCGCCGGTTCCCCCCTGATATCTTCCCCAGTCCCCTCTACCGCCGCCTCTTCCCCCCCTCTCTCCGCCTCTTCCCACTCTTCCTCTCCCCCTCCCCCCCTTCTTCCGCCCGCTCCATCCGATCCCCTTCCGAACCCGCCCCCAGAACCAGAACCTCCCCAACTTCCCTTATACCCTGAACCTCCGGTTGCTCCGCTAAACCCTCTGCCGCCTCTTCCGCCACTTCCGAATCTTCCGCCACTATTGCCCCTTCCGCCTCTTCCCCCTCTTCCACGACCTCCGCCGCGAGGGTTTCCCCCCCAACTATCTGCCATGATTCACTGTGGTTGCGCTGTTCAGTTCAACAAAAGTCTGAGAGAACTCGTCAAGAGACTGGGATACACCCCGCCAAAACCACATCAAAGGACGATCGGGTGCAAAATGCAGAATCACAGAACTGTAGAATACAACATTTTCTGAGTGTAGCTGGTGCGCGTAAGAATAGTTTCAACTTATGTCTGCTATTGTCACACTCGTTTTTACAACAGACGGAACTTTTTGGTGGGTGGACTCTCTCTGATTGGTCTGCTGACCTCACAGCTCATTGGCCCGCCTCCCCGCAAACCAGCACCCGAACCGAATGCTACCGTTACAGTCTCGTCATTCATTGACTTTCCGGCCACGTCAAACAAGCTCGTCTGCACAGGCGTGGTGGCGTTGTTTCCCCTCGTTGATTGGCCGAACTCTCTGCACCTCATGTAACATTCCCTCGTTGGCAAATAACTAGGGTTGTCGAATCTTAGCCGTCCACATGCAATCTGAAGGCCATCTCGGACGCATTTCAGCTTCCGCGCTCTGTCGCTTGTCACGAATTTCGCTAACAGCCCTGCGTTTCGCGCCAAACCGCAAATTCGCCGCAAGCCAGTAGCCCTGTCAGTCACACCACCTAACCTCACCAACCGCAGCCAAACCCAACAAGGCATTTCACGCTCCGTAACACGCCAAACCGTACTAGATCGCACCATACCACCACCAACGCCGAAGCCAACAATTGCAACATCACCATCACCCCCACCACCTAAAGCAATGGCAGAGAATAAGAGCTTGAAGAGAGCCTCAGAAGAACCACCACAGATCAATAGAAAATAGCTTATCGAAAGGCCCGTCGCGACTAGCTCATTACGCGGAAGCAAGCCGAGCCTTACAAGCCCCATAGATCTTTGGAGTTCGAGCCCGCGAATAACGTCGTCTTTCGTTTGTTTCCAAGCCGTTGATACGAGCACTCTTACTACTACAGCGTCAGCTACTACTAGTATGGCCACGACGCTTCTACCATCAGCACACTCTGCGACGCATTTGCCGACGTCGTTCGCCGACCTATCAGAAGACGTGCTTCTGCACCTGCTTGCTCGCCCATCTTCCGGTGGCCCGAGCCGCGAGCTTTCCCCGGAAGACCTCGCACGGCTCGAGGCGGTCTGCTACGCCCTCCGCCGCCCGCTCCTGCTCCCCCCGAACCGCCGCCACTCCGTCGTCGAAACATCCGCGCGCGCGAGATGCTTGCGCCACCCGCTGCTCGCGCGGGTCCCCGCGGAGCTGCTGCGCGCAATGGCGGCGCAGCGGTGCGGCGGAAGCTGGCTGCGCGTGCTGCGTTTCGCGTGGGCGGTGGAGGAGGCCTGGGGGTTGCGGCGGGGAAGTGATTCGGAAGTGGAGGTCGGAGGGGGGAGGGGAAGCGCGGATGTGACGCGGCGGAAGCCGCCTTGCTCGCCGCGGATTGGGCGGCGGCGGCGGAAGGGGAAGATGAGGCCAGCCTGGGGAGGGAGGGAGGTCGCCGCGGCCCGGGATTAACAGCCGCTGTTTACGCGGGCGATTACTGCTCGTTCCAGATAAAGACTAGCGGCGAGCTGTGGGTGTACGGATCAGGCACGCGCGACGGCACCCCACAATTCGCCCCCCCGCGTACCGCGCCAACTCACCCAGCACCAGTCGTCCCAACCCCCGCCCCGAATCAGCCTCCCCCGAATCAACCCGCCCCCGCGACTGTCGAGCCGCCCCAGGCGGCTCAAGGTTGGGCGGCTGCCGCCAGCAGCGCCCTGGCCGCCGGCCTGGCTGCTGTGCGTCTCGGAGCCAGCACCGCAGGCTCGGGCAGTGCCGCAGCGATAGGCTCGGCAGTAGGCTCGGAGAGGCTGAATGGGCGCACGATGCAGCAAGCGCAGCAGGGAGGGGGGCGGAGAGGGCGGAGGGGAAGCCTCAAGGCGCATATAGTGGTGGGGGAAGGGGCGTCGGGGGGTGCTGGGGGAGATGGGGGGAACCATGGGGCGGCGGCAGGGGCATCCGGGGTGGGTTATTATGAGGAGCATGGGGTGGGTGGGGGGGGTAGGGAGGAGGACAGGGTGGTGCAAGTAGCGGGGGGAAGAGCGTTCACTGTGATACTAACGGAAGCAGAGGAGGTTTACACAATGGGGCAGGACTCTAACGGGTGCTGCGGGCACGGGCAGGAAGGGGCGGGGAAGAAATTTTCCCAGCCGAAATTAGTGGAGGCTTTAAGAGGCGTGCCATGTCAGCAGGTGGCCACAGGGAGGAGCCATACCTTGGTTCTAGCTACGGATGGCACAGTGTATGCGTTCGGAGCAGGCGGCAATGGCCGGCTGGGGATAGGGGATACGGACGACAGATGCCGGCCAACGGTTGTGGAGGGTCTGCGGCCAGAAGTGCTAGCTGCCGTGCTGGACGGTGCCGTGCTGGACGGAGCCATGCTGGACGGAGCCATGGGCGGCAGGGGAGATGATACCATGGGTGGGAGCAGCGACCGTATGGGCGGCAGGAGCACTGACATGGGCGGCAGTGGCGATGAGTATGCTCAATACCGCATAGTGAGTGTAGCAGCTGGCGCCAGCCACTCTCTCGCCGTCACGGCAGGCGGAGTGGTGCTGGCTTTTGGCCGCGGGCATAGTGGGCAGCTGGGGGGTGCGCAGCGGTGGGGGTTGGGTGGGGCGGAGGAGCAAGAGGTCAGAGGGGGACAGGAGAGGACGGAGGGGGTGAGAGGAGGAGGGCGGATAGGGAGAGCGCAGGGGAGAGCCGGGGGTGCATCCAGCGTGCGTGTGGCTAGGCGTGCTGGCGGTGCTACAACCGCAGCAGCAGCAGCAGCAGCAGCAGCAGCAGCAGCAGCTGACCTCTCTGATTGTCTGGTGCCGCAGCCTGTGGCGTGGTTTCTTGACTCGGGCGTGCATGTGCTCAAGGTGGCGGCTTCTGTGGACTACTCTGCTGCTGTCGACTGCCTGGGGCGGGTGAGTGGACGGGTGGAAGAGTGATGGTAAGGTGTGAGGGTATGTTGAGCCCTCAGCAGCCAGTGGTGTGGGTCCTTTCATCAGGTGTCCATGTGCTCTGTGACTTTGCTGCTTCTCTCGACTACTCCGCTGCTGTCAACTGCCTGGGGCGGGTGAGTGAAAGACCTTGCTATTTGCAATCCAAACCGGGCTCCCAAGTTTTCCTCTCTCATGCGCTCCAAACCAGCCCCCCAACCAGCCCCCCCTTCTCGCGTGCAGTTTTCCTCTGTCTCTAACGCCTGCTGCGTGTAATCAGCCATCTGTGACCCGCACTCTCCCTGTGCTCCCCGGTTGCAGGTGTTCATGTGGGGTTCAGGCTACTGCGGGTGTTTGGGCAATGCCAGCGAGGCCAATGAGGTGCTGCCACGCGTTGTGGAGGGGCTCCTGCATACTCGAATAGTGCAGGTATGTGAGCACATGCACAGTCAATGGGTTGGAGGGTTAGCGGTCTGGGGGGCCTTGGGGGGTGGGTGGGAGGGGGGGAGGGGGAGGGGGAGGGGAAGGGGGGGGAGGGTGGGGGAATGGGGGGCTGGGGGTGGAAGCATGCCTTATATAGATGGTTTTTTTAGGTGCCTCAAAAATCGTCTTTTTACCGCTTGACAACTTTTGATAATCCCCCCTCTCCTGCTGATCCCCTCCCGATCTCAGGTGACTCTGGGAAAGCGCAAGACTCTGGCGTTGGACGACCAGGGCCGGGTGTTTGCCTTCGGGTGGACAGCCTTTGGAGGGCTCGGAGTGGCAACCGGGCGCGACAAGGTGTTTGCTCCCATGGCGGTCGAAGCTCTGGAGGGCAAGAGGGTGGTGCAGGTGAGGGGAGAAAAGAGTGGAATGGGAGGGGCTTTGAGCAGGTAAATGGATCTTGTTGGGCTGGGTGTGGCAGCCGTGCGCGACAAGGTGTTTGCTCCCATGGCGGTGGAGGCCCTGGAGGGCAAGAGGGTGGTGCGGGTGAGGGGAACTATGGGCAGGGTTGGAGGAACAAGGGGACTTAGAGTTGACTGTAGAGTCACCTGGGCTCGGAGTGGCAGCAGGGCGCGACAAGGTGTTTGCTCCCATGGCAGTAGAAGCGCTGGAGGGGAGAAGGGTGGTGCAGGTGAGGGGAACTAAGGTGTGGGAAGGAGGCCAAGAGGGGGGAGAAAAGGGTGGGTTTGGGGAGGCTTTTGAGTCCGGCTATAGAGTCACGTGGGTTGGGGTCTACAGCAGGGGGTAGCCGTGGTGTTTGCTCCCATGGCGGTGCAAGCGATGGAGGGGAGGAGAGTGGTGCAGGTGAGGCCATGGGTGGTGCACGTGAGGCCATGGGTGGTGCAGGTGAGGCCATGGGTGGTGCACGTGAGGCCATGGGTGGTGCAGGTGAGGCCATGGGTGGTGCAGGTGAGGCCATGGGTGGTGCACGTGAGGCCATGGGTGGTGCACGTGAGGCCATGGGTGGTGCACGTGAGGCCATGGGTGGTGCACGTGAGGCCATGGGTGGTGCAGGTGAGGCCATGGGTGGTGCAGGTGATGGACAGGGGCATGGGGATACCGTATGTCATATGTTGACTTCTGTGTGCTTCCCAGCGGATAAGCACAGGAGAGTCTACCACTCAGTCACCTGCTTTCGAGTCAAACAGCTAATGATGACTGTCCGTTTGTCCAGCTATCCGCCCGTGTGTGTTGTGTTTCGACTGCAGATAAGCACAGGAGTCTGTCACTCATTTCATGCTTTCGACTCGACTCAAATACAGTTCGTCCATCCGTCCATCCGCCCGCCCGTGCGTGTTGTATTTTCACTGCAGATAAGCACGGGGGCGTATCACACCATCGCTTTGTGCCGTGACGGCACCTGCATTGGCTTTGGAGACAACGAGCAGGGGCAGCTGGAGCTGCACTGAAGCACCAACCGTGGGCTCCTTGCATTTGTGGCGCCTCAGGAGCATTGCCTTCTGCCGTGGCGGCACCTGCATTGGCTTTGGAGACAACGAGCAGGGGCAGCTGGAGCTGCATCGGGCCTGCGCTGAAAGGCTGATGCGCTGAAAGTCTGATGCGCTGAAAGGCTGATGCGCTGAAAGGCTGATGCGCTGAAAGGCTGATGCGCTGAGAGGCTGATGCGCTGAGAGGCTGATGCGCTG